TCGCTGCCCAGGCGGGTATCGAACCCACGGGCTCAGGCAATCCACTCACCTCAGCCTCCCCAAGGCGCGGGATTACAGACTGAGCCACTGAGCCCGGTGATTATTTTCAACTTACAATGAGTTTATCAGGATGTGGCCCCATCGTAAGTCAAGGAGCCTTTGTATAATCTACATTCATCTTGGCAAATGTTTACTATTAAGCCAAGTGCAGATGTTAAAAAATACCAATACTCAGCAAACCCATCACGATTAAAATTAACATGGTGCTACATCTTTCCAGCATTTTGTTTTGTGTGTAGATATATGCACATGTATTGAACATAAATTAGACAATTCATGAAACTATTATAACTATATATATAGTATATTGTCCTGAGTTTTTTGGTAGTTGTTTTTTGTTTTGCCTTTATCTTAAGTAGTAACTCATGGATGAAGTATTCTGAGTAAATGACAAGGTATAACATATGGTTTAACTTTTAAAAAAATGAATCCTTTACAGTTGTCCCAGCTCCAACTCTTGAACAATGTCTCTGATTAGAAATGCCATATTTGTTGCATCTTAAATAATGTGATATGCCTGGGTTTACTCAGGAGCTTTCTATAGACTTCCTTTCATCTGTATATCAACTATTCTGTCCAAAAGTTATAAAATTATATGCTCGAGGAACACCGGAACACCTGGCAGTGTAATCCCCACTTTTATCATTCAGCCTTTGTATGAGTGGTAGGAATAATAATAATAATAAACAATAGTAAAAAGCACCAGCAATTATAGGGTACACACTAGATCAGTTGATTGATCTAGATCATACAACAAGCAAGCAATGGTTCTCAGGGTCAAATGTAGGTACTTCTCACCCAAAAGCCCACACCTCTAACCACTGTTTCTATATTAAGTGCCCTTCTGTGTTAGATCAGAGGCCAACAAAGGGAAGGGGCTCACCCCAAAAACCATCGTTAGTATCTGTTTCTGGCTTCTGGCAGGAGGCTTCACTTCCCAGCCTGTCTGCAACCCTTTATGAGAAATACAGCTCTCTAAAAAAAAAAAAAAAAAAAAGGGACCATGATCAGTTGATGGGTCTGGCAACTGGAATACAAGTTTGATGACTCTCATCTTCTGTCCAGCTGACCCTTTATTATTCCTGACTCTTCTGTATTATTTCTCCTTCCTGGAGTTCAATAAGAAATTCCGTCATCATGTCGCACTAGAAAGAAAAGAAGCCAGATTGTATGTGGAATCAAAAGAATAATGAGATAGGACCAAAGTTCACTTCTTGCTAGTATGTGCCCAGATGCTCTCTGTTTCAAATTTTCTATTTTATGGGGCACAGGTATTTTCTTTTTTCTTTTCTTTTTTTTTTTTTGAGTTAGAGTCTCACTCTGTCACCCAGACTGAAGTGCAGTGGCCGCTCCCAGCCACCGCAGCCTCGACCTGCTGGGCTCCGGTGATCCTTCCGCCTCAGCCTTCCAAGTAGCTGGAACTACAGGCGCGCACTACCATGCCCAGCTAATTTTTGATTTATTGTAGAGATGAGGTCTCGCCAAGTTGCCCAGGCGGGTCTCGAACCTGCGGGCTCAGGAAATCCACTCACCTCAGTCTCCCAAAGCACGGGATTACAGGTTGAGCCACTGAGCCCGGCTGGGGCACAGGTATTTTCTACAGGAACCAGTAATCTTTCTTTTAAAAACCTTTCTCAGACATACATTTCAAAAAGACAAAAAAGCAGAGGAACAAAGTCATTCCTGGCAGAAAAATTTGTAACAGGATACAACTAGAAATGAGAGAGATGTCCACCAATAAGGGATTGGTTGAAAAACCTAAGGTACATCTACCTCCTAGAATACAATGCAAGTATAAAAAGCAAGGAGGACTCCCTCTCTCTACTGCTGTGTAGTGATCTTCAGGATATACCACTAAGTGAAAGAAGCAAGGTGCAGAGAAATGCGCAAAGCTGCTGCTGTCCATTTAAATTTAAGTTAACTTAAAAATTTTTTATTTTTTTAGCTGGAGTCTCACTCTTGTCGCCCAGGCTGGAGTGCAGTGGCACGCTCACAGCCACTGCAGCCTCAACCTGCTGGGCTTAGGCAATTCTTCCACCTCAGCCTTCCAAGTAGCTGGAACTACAGACACATGCCACAACGCCCAGCTAGTTTTTGTGATTTATTGTAGAGACAAGGTCTCACCAAGTTAACCAGGCTGGTCTTGAAACCCCAGGCTTGGGCAATCCTCTTACCTCGACCTCCCAAAGTACTGGGATTGCAGGCTGAGCCACTGTGTATGGACAACTTAAATTTAAATGAAATTTAAATTCAGTTTTTCAGTCGCACTTACCACATTTCAGGTGTTCAACATTCACAAGGAGCTATTGTGTTGGACAATGTAGACAAACAATATTTTCACCCTTGTAGAAATTCTGTGGGATACCACTGATGCAAAATATGTCATGTTATATGTAAATAAGAGGAGAAAGCTAATGTAAACATTCTCTTGCTTAAATTTTAAAATTGGAAAGTTATAATGAAAATTGATTTTTAAAAAATCATTACCCACAAAGAGAAGGAGAAACAGCCCAGGTTGGAAGCAGATGATGTTCTCTCTTTTTTTTCTTGAGTCAGAGTCTCCCTCTGTCGCCCAGGCTGCAGTGCAGTGGCATGCTCACAGCCACTGCAGCCTCAACCTGCTCGGCTCAGGTGATCCTTCTACCTTAGCCTTCCAAGTAGCTGGAACCACAGACACGTGCCACCATGCCTGGCTAATTTTTTGATTTATTGTAGAGACACGGTCTCACCAAGTTGCCCAGGCTGGTCTCGAACCCCTGGGCTCAGGCAATCCTCTCATCTCTGCCTCCCAAAGTGCTGGGATTACAGGCATGAGCCACCGCACCTGTCCAGATGATGTTCTCTCAAAAATATAATACATACTACCAGTTTCATGTACTGGAAACATGAAGAAACATGAGAATCTAGTTGCAATGAACAAATCTAATATCTGAATTGAATCCCCTGAAAGGAACCAGGCTTCCTTGGAGAAATAGCTGGTTCCGGGTCTGTGTAGGAACGGTACCAGCTGAGTCAGGACCAAACTATCATACCAGAATGTGTATCAAAAAGACTCAGAAGCCAAGCTTAAGGGGCTCCCACTGGACAAAGATTAAATATTTTGAACATCAAATAAAATAACGACTACTATGGATTAAAACACACCAAATAAAACAATTTCTAGAGTTCATGATAATACTCTAAAAGAAAAAACAAAACAAACAAAATCAACTTATTGTTCATCTTTGGAGGACCCCAATGAAACCATTCATATTTTGAAAAGTGAAAATATTGCAAAGGAATTAGGCATTCACCCTGCCCTTCCTATATATACTATACCTCAGTGTAACCTAATAGCTGATGAGGACAAGTTTCTTTCATAGAATAATCCCAGCTAATAAAGAAAAAAAGTATAGAATTAGAACATCAATCTTTTACAAACTTTTATGAATACAGATCTAAGCAACAATCTTAGAGGCTGCAGAAAAATTGAGGTGAAAAAGAGATGGGAAATTTTATAATGGATAGATCAGTTTAACAATATTTGAACCTAGTAATTACTCTTAACATCACAAGAGGAGAGACAACTAGACACAATGAGTCTCCTGTGTAACATTACAGAAGTAAACACCATTACATATGAGGTACTTTTGACCAAAAAAAATCTCAACTGAATCAAGCTTCTGAATCTAATACCATTTTTTTTTTTTGAGTCGGAGTTTTTTTTTTTGAGTTGGAGTCTCACTCTGTCGCTCAGACTGGAGTGCAGTAGCCGCTCCCGGCCACTGCAGCCTCGACCTGCTGGGCTCTGGCGATCCTTCCGCCTCAGCCTTCCAAGTAGTCAGAATTACAGGCATGTGCTACCATGCCCGGCTGATTTTTTGATTTATTGTAGAGATGAGGTCTCGCTGCCCAGGCGGGTCTCGAACCTGCGGGCTCAGGCAATCCACTCACGTCAGCCTCCCAAAGGCGCGGGATTACAGGCTGAGCCACCGAGCCTGGCTTGAGTCAGAGTTTCACTCTGTCACCCATGCTGGGGTGCAGTGGTATGCTCATAGCCACCGCAGCCTTGACCTACTGGGCTCAGGTGATCCTTCCACCTCAGCCTTCCTAGTAGCTGGAACCATAGGCATATGCCACCATGCCAGGCTAATTTTTTTTATTTATTGTAGAGACGAGGTCTCACCATATTGCTGAGGCTGGTCTCGAACCCCTGAGCTCAGGTAATCCTCTCACCTCCACCTCCCCAAGCACTGGGATTACAGGCTTGAGCCACCATGCCCATCCTCTAATACCAATTTAAAGAGAAAAAGAAGGGATAGAGGAACATAATAAACAACAATACAAGAATATAATCAATTAAATCCACAACGTAAAACAACAAAATCAGCTCACCGTGCACCAAAATCCACAATGCAAAGTGCACAGGACAAAATATCCAGCCTCTTAAGCAAATAAATTGGAAGATGTGATGGGTAATTTTATATGTCAGCTTGATTGGGCCACAAGGTACTCAAACATTTGGTCAAACACTATTCTAGGTGTGTGTGAGGGTGTTTCTAGATAAAATTAACATTGACTCGGTAGACCAAATAGAACAGATTGCCCTTTCTAATGTGGGTAAGCTGCATCCAATCATTTGAAGTTCAGAATAGAACAAAACGGCTGAGTAAGCATGAACTCTTCTTCTGCCTGACTTCCTTAGCTAGGATATCAGTCTTTTCCTGCTCTTTGGGACTCAAACTGAAAATTTGGCTCTCCTAGGGTCTAGAGACAGCCAGCTTTTAGAATGGAACTTACACCATCAGCTCTCATGGTTCTCAGGCCTTTAGATTTGGACTTATACTACCCATCAGGTCTCCTGGGTTTCTTGCTTGTCAACTGCGGATCTTGAAACTACTCAGACTCCATAATCATGTGAGCCAACCCCTTATAAAATCTCTCTCTCTCTCTCTCTCTTTCTCTGTGTATGTATGTGTGTATGTGTCCTATTAGTTTTGTTTCTCTAATATAGAAGGAATTTCTTCACAGTAAAAGAAACTTAATACTTCAGAGAAATTATGATTAAACCATAATGAGGTGCTACCACAAGCCCACAAGGACAACAAAATAAAAAACATGAAAAATACCAAGTGCTAGGGAGAATGTGGAGCAGGGGAACTCTCACACATTGCTGGTAGGAATACAGATGAGAACAACCACTTTGATCAACTGTTTGTCAATATCCACACACACAGACCATATGACTCAGAAGTGCCATGGTACATTACTATATGCTCAAGAGAAGTGAAAATAAATGTCCATCCAATAGAATGAACAAGAACATTCATAGCACCATTATGCATAAGTCAAAAACTGGAAAATGCCCAATATTTTCCATAACAGATAGATATAGTATAAAATATCCAAATAATTTAATATTACACCAATGAGAATAAATAATCTGACAATAATAAATGTTAATTTCACATACATCATGCTGATTTAAAGGAGTCAGACACAAAAGAGCACATGTTGTATGACTCTAGGAATTTTTCTTCGAATGAGGGGAAGGAAAGGGAGGGGAGAAAAAGAAAGAGGGAAAAAAAGAAATATTTTTCTCAGAGCACATTCTCTGACCACACTGCAGGTAAGTTGAAAATCACACATTGCAACAAAATCATTTCCCACCACATATATAAAGTCGAAAGCTACTAAACTATGCTATTTTTAGGGTGATGTTTCTGAAGATGACCTGTAGAATTGTCTCTAGAACATTTTCCTCCCTAGTTTCAACATACTGTCAATGAATTCTAGAAGCTGATATGGAAATACAGTTCTAGAATCAAATATCTTTTCCATCCTAGAGTAGCCTGTGCTTTTAACCCAAAAGATTCCTCATGGCTATTGCTAAACATCTGATTGCTGACAATTCAGTGAAAATATAATAATGAAAACAAATAATGTCATGTGTAGCGGCATCCAAAGTATGAAATGTTTATGAATAATCTGTTCACAGATGTGCAAGATCTGTACACTGAACACCACAAAACATTGCTGAAAGAATTAAAGAAAACCCTAATAAGTGGAGGACATACCATGTTCATGGGTCAGAAGATTCAGTATTGTTAATATGTCTATTCTCCCAAAACTGACCTATAGATTCAGAGCAATCTCAATAAAAATCCTATACTATTTGTTAAAGAAACAGACTGATTCTAAAACTTTTATATAGAAATCCCAAAAGACTTAGACTATGAATGACATCTTTGAAAAACAACAAAGTTAGAGGACAAACACTACCTGATTTCAAGACTCATTATAAGATGACAGTAATCTAGACAGTGTGCTATCAGCATCAAGATGGATGAGTAGATCAAAGGAATAGAATAAAGAGTCCAGATATAGACCCATAAGTATATGAACAACTGATTTTTTTACAATGATATAAAGGCAATTCAGTGGGAAAAGGACAGTCTTTGCAACAAATGGTTCTGGGACAAATAGATATTTATATACACAAATATAAACAAATATATATAAGTCAACTCAAAATGGATCAGAGATCTAAATATGAAGCTTACAACTATTTACAATATCAAAAACATGAAATCAACCGTGCTGCCCATCAAAACTGGACTGGATAAAAAAAAGTGGTACATATACATGATGGAATATTGCACAGCCATAAAGAAGAACAAAATAATGGACTTTGCAGTAACTCAGATGGATTTAGAGTCTATAATACTCAGTGATTTATCACAGAACCAAAGAACGGAGTACCATATGTTCTTACTCATAAGCGGACCCTGAACATTTACCATAATATTATAAGAAAGGGATTGGCAGTAGCCGGAAACTGCCGGGGGAGGCACATAACACTAATAAGCGTACCTGATCTCAAACCAGGCAAAGTGGGGACCAAAGGTAGGTCCAAACTTTACCTATACAATGATCACTTATATAGCTAATCCTGAATTGTACCCCACATCTTTAAAATAAAATAAATTTTAAAAAATATGAAGCTTACTGCTATAAAATTGCTTAACGAAACACTGGAGAAAATCCTTGTGACCATGGGTTAAGTGAAGATCATAGATGGGATGGCAAAACCATAATCTATAAGTGAAGAAATCGATAAACTGAACTTCCTCAAAGTTAAAAACTTCAGCTTTTCCAGTCACATGGTTGATAAAATGATAAGAAAAGCCCTGAATGGGAGAAAAATGTGTGAAAATCATATATCTGATAAAAGAACCTGTAACCAGAATATTAAAAATCTCACAAAAGTGAATAAGAAGAAAACAGACACTCAGGCACATCAATAAAGAACTGAACAAAAGATGTGAATAGATACTCCACTAAAGAAAATATACAAATGTCAAATAAGCACATGAAAAGATGCTCATCATTACTCTTAAAGAAAATGTAAATGAAAATTACAATGAGTTACTAGTAAACTCCCGTGAAAATGATGAAAATTCAAGACTGACCATCTCAAGCACTGACAAGGTTATGGAGGATGAAACTCTCATACGCTGCTGGTGGCAATGAAACATGGTACAAACACTTGGAAACAGTTTGGCAGTTTCTTACAATGTTAACATTCCATCTACAATCTGAGTCCGCCATTGCACTCCTAACTATTTATCATAACGAAAGAGCCTATTTCCTTGGGAAGAAAAAAACCTTTTCAAAAACATTCACAGCAACTTTTTAAAAAGAGCAACAAAAACAAAAAAGAGATCCAAATTGCAAAAAATCCAAAATATACAACAACAGGTGAATGGATAAAACACATTATGGCATAGCCATGTTGGAATACTACTCGGCAATAAAAAAGAATGAACTACTGATATGTGCAGCACATTGGATGAATCTAAAAATAAATAGGGTGAATGAAAGAAGCTAAACCAAATATAGAAAACAAACAAAAACACTTCTGTGATTCTATTTAAATAAAATTGTAGGACACAAAACCTGATCTATATTGACAAAAGTGCTGTGTTTTCCTGAGGATAGGGCAATAGAAGGGGTGGGAAGTCTGAATACTACAGAACAGAAAGTGTTATGTCCTGGGAAATAATGATAATAATATTTAGGCCTATCTGGTTATTTTAGGGAATATGGCGAGTATCATCATAATAGAGCAAATTATATGGTAATTATTATTTGTCAAAATACTAATTTCTTGTTCTTGACATTTTGAAATTTTTAACTAACACTTGATAAATTCCTTAGAGTCTTAAAAAATTATTTATAGAATGGATAAAAACATGGCTGCCATTAAAGAATGCCTATTATAATCTTAAGTTGCTAGGAAGACCTGCCCAACTGAATATTTCAACATCCATCTGGGAGATACATGGGAATCACTGGTTATTATTTATACAGACAGAAAATATATATAAATTTAGTTCAAAAATATGTTCAATATCACGTTCCCCAACTGGACTATTCATTGTTTTGTGAGAAGATAAGGTATTTCTGAGATGGGCCTCATGGGCCACTACAAAGCATGTAGCAGTTGATGGAATGAAACTCCACCTGCTACACCTCTTCTCCAATGATGAGATCAAAGGAGCATCTCTTTCCGGCTATTTTATAAACCTCACAGGAGCTATTCCACAACGTGCTTCCATTCAGATCTATGAACTTACTTGAGCCAGACATCATATCCCATCAAATGAAAGTGCTGGGGGTCTCCTGAGGATTATTCCCTTCAAATCTGGAGTAGAAGCTTCAGCGGCCACCACCATCAGGTTCTCAGACCCACCTCCTTCACACACCTGACATGAGGTCAGTCACCTGCATGAAGAGCTGCACAGGGAGAGAGAATCCAGCAATCACTATGCTTTATTAGAGTGATTATGTGCCTGGGTTGGTGACCAATGACACTAATACAATTGGGTAGTGATCATAACAACAGAAGGTACAATGGGTTTCTCACCGGGGACTTTTCTTCTTCTTTCCTCATCTATCCCCTAACAACAAATCTGAAAAGTAATAAGTGGCCTGAATTCATACAGGCATTCCCGATCCCGCAATAACCACAGGGCTATGGTTTGCACCTGTGTCATCATTGAAGATTCCAGCAATCGTGTGGGCGGACGTTCTTGTCCCTATTTTAGAGGGGGAAGCTGGGCTCAGACAGAGTCGTCACGTGTGTCATCCTCCTGCGAAGGGTCGGTGACCAATGACATGGATAGTAGCCTCAGGACACCCTGGAGCAGGACACCACACACTGGTGCCGGACCCGGCAGGGTCCCACCCCTCTCTCCCTCACCGGACAGCCGGGGCAACTGCCCCAACGTAGGAACGAGGGGACTTCGATCTGGGATCCCTTCGTGTCTCCACACCTCAAGGCGGTTCAGCCCCCGTCGCGGGGTACCTGCACCCTCAGCTCGGTCCAAAAACCTGAAGGCGGGACCCTACTCTTCGCTCTTCTTGCCAGGCCACTTTGGTCTCCATGAAAATGTCGTCATGGTCGCTAGAATGACGTCATGTTTCTATGGTAACCGCAATGCGCAGCCTGGTCCTCAGCACAGGAAATGCCTCCGCACAGGAAATGCCTCCGCACAGCCCTCCTCCCCTTGCTTTTCCCTGAAGGCAAAACCACCTTCACTCTTCAGTGAAAAAGCTTACAAATTAACTAGTCTTGGACAAGGGAATTTGTGGAACTCAGCCTAGTTTAGTGAAACAAAGAATGTCCATGTTGTCAAAAATTTTGTTAGCTCTAAAAGTGACCTTAGGGGAGTATCATCAGTACACGGAGACCCAGGGAGGTATACCGGGGCTCTTGGCGATGACCTTGCCCTCTCAGGGGCACAGGTAAAATTTACACACCATGCTAAGCAGTTAGCCATCTGTGGCAGAAAACTCATAAGAACTGTCTATAGTCGTGTAACTAAATGACCTAGGAATACCAAAAATTGTCATTTAAGCAATCTATTTCAGAGAAGTATGCCTAGAATAATATGATTATTTAGTAAGAAGAAATCTAGTCAATTGAAGCATACAGTGGTTTATTCTGGGTAATTCTTATCCACCATTCCTAATATTTTCTTCCACGTGGAGAGACATCCACGACCAAAACACTTCTAGCCTCTCTCCACATTCACTCCTTCTCCGTCGCAGGAAACACATAATTGGTGAGTTCAAAAGGAGAAACAAGTTGCACAACCCGAGCTCTCTCCTTTCAAAACTCTTCTTGGTTGTAATCTTAGCTTAGCGAACATATGTTCTGCTCTGCCTTCAGGGGTGGGTCTTACGATAGCCCACAGCTCTAGTTCCCTTTCTGTGCCTTACTAGCTCCCTAAATATTCCTACGGTCTTCCTTAAAAATGCGTGGATCTTTAAGGAGCCCCCAAATGCCCTCCAGCTTCAAGTCTGAGCTGTACAGCAACTGAGAAATATGACAAAAGAATGAGGAGAACAATATATTGACTTCATTTCTTATAAAAGTGATATTGGTCGCAGTTTCTTTCGTCCATGCCAGCTCTGACATGTTTCCATTTCTTTTCTTCCTTCTTTCTCTAACAAACTTTGTTTAAAAACTTTAAAAAAGAAAGTGATATTGGAGTATGTGACTTAGATTTGCTGGCATGTGAGCTTACTGTGAATGAACCCTAGAACTGAACAGACTCCACCCAGCAGTGCTGCACTGGATCTTCACAAAGGCCAAGGACTGCAAAGCACATCTCTCTGCTGTCTCCTGAAGGAACCCCGTCTATTGTGTACCCAAGGAGGAAAGTGACTTTCTTGCCAAGGGCTATTACTGTAGCAGGAGAGTGTCTTTCAGGACACATTCCTTGAGAAATACTGAGTTCTCAAAGTAAATAAATATTCCCACCACACACACCACACCCGGCTAGTTTTTGTGATTTATTGTAGAGACAAGGTCTCACCGAGTTGCCCAGGCTGGTCTCTAACCCCTTGAGCTCAGGCAATCCTCTCACATCAGCCTCCCAAAGTGCTGGGATTATAGGCTTGAGCCACCATGCCCGGCAACTGGATGTTTTTTATTCTACATGTCAACTGGGGCTGCAGTCATTTGGAAACTCCACTCACCTGGGACATCTGAGAGATTTCACTCACAAAAACAAGCACTGGTGCTGGTGTCTGCTGGGAGCTCAGCTGGGGCTATTGACCTGAGTACCTTGGCTAACCCAGAGCTCTTCATGTGTAGAGTAGCCAGATAAAACAGAAGATGCCCAGCCAAATTTGAATTCCAGGTAAACAATGAATAATTTTTAGTGAATATGTGATGGTAATTTTACCTGTCAACTTGGCTGGGCCACATTGTTCAGGTATCTCATCAACATTATTCTGTATGTTCCTGTAAGAGTGTTTTTGGATGAGATTAGCATTTAAATCAGTGAACTCTGAATAGAGCAGATTGCCCCCCCATGGGAGTGGGTCTCATCCAATCAGTTGGATGCCTGAATAGAGCAAAATCTGACCTGCCCTGAGCAAGAAAACCTTCTTGCAGATGGCCTTCAGCCTTGAGCTCCACGTTGGATGATCTCTGGGATCCTATTTGCCAGCCCACACTGCAGTTTTGGACTTCCAGTTTCTATAGTCATGTGATCCATTCCTGAAATAGATAGATAGATAGATAGATAGATAGATAGATAGATAGATAGATAGATAGATAGATAGATAGATGATAGAGATAGCTCCATATGCATGTGTTATTTGTGTCTATTCACACACATACATTATATTGGTTCTTTTTCTCTGGATGTGACATGCAATTTTTTATTTGAATTTAACTGAGCACTTTGTATTTTTATTTGCTATATCTTGGCATCTGGGGGAGGAGCCTGAATATGTAAGTTTAATGACCATCCAAGAGATTCTTTCCATTAAGTAAGGGAAGGTCTGGGCACAATGAATAGATCAGATTTTTTTTTTTTTAAAGCCTGTTCATAAAGAAGGACAGCTGGGCACACCTCTAATCCCAGCACTTTGGGAGGCCAAGGTGAGAGGATTGCCTGAGTTCAGGGGTTCAAGACCAGCCTGAGAAACATGATGAAACCTCGTTTCTACAATAAATTTAAAAAATCAGCTGAATGTGGTGGCACACACCTGTGGTTCCAGCTACTTGAAAGGCTGAGGCTGAAGGATCACCTGAGCCCAGCAGGTTGAGGCTGCGGTGACCAGGAGTATGCACTGCCCCCCAGCCTGGGCAACAGAGTGAGACTATAACTCAGAAAAATAAAAATAAATAAATAAATAAATAAGGACAAAATTTTGAACTTCACAGCAACTTAGATGAACTTAGAATCTATCATACTGAGTGATCTATCACAGAAACAAAGAACTGAGTATCACATGTTCTCACTCATAAGTGGACCTTGAACAATTATCGTAATACTGTAAGAAAAGGATCATCAGTAGTGGGAAATTGCCCGGGCAGGGTGTGTGCAGGATTGGCAGTAGTGGGATTCTGCGGGGGGGGGCACACCTCATCAACAAGGGTACCTGCATAATGGACACTTGTATACTTAACCCTGTATTGCACTCCACATCTTTAAAATAAAAAATATAAAAAATATAAAAAGGCTTTTTTTTTGAGTTGGAGTCTCACTCTTGTCACCCAGGCTGAAGTGCAGTGGCATGCTCACGGCCACCACAGCCTTGACCTGTTAGGTTCAGGATCCTTCTGCCTCAGCCTTCCAAGTAGCTGGAACACAGACACATGCCACCACACCTGGCTAGTTGTGTGTGTGTGTGTGTGTGTGTGTGTGTGTGTGTGTGTGTGTGTGTGTGTGATTTAGAGACGAGATCTCATCAAGTTGCCCAGGCTGGTCTCGAACCCCGAGCTCAGGCAATCTTCTCACCTTGGCCTCCCAAAGTGCTAGGATTACAGGCTGAGCCACCGCGCCTGGCCAAAAAAGGCTGTTAATACCCAATATTGGTGGAATAAAGGGGAAAACAGACTCATATACACTACTGGTGTCACACTGGTGTATCAATTTTCTGAAACCCATATTATTATGGATTAATAACTGGCCTTTGATACAAAAGTCCTGTTTCTACCAACAAGGGAGTTTCTGGTAAGAGTTTAGAAAAGGCTCATCAAGGTGACTCTGATGTGCATCCTGCCTGGTTAAGGAGCCCTGGATGAGGTGGTAGGTCAAGTTGCTGCATGAGTTCCCTGCTCCAGGGAGGAAAAACAGCTTCTATTTATGGGGCAGATTGTTTAGAAAGACCCAGCCCCAGGTTATTTACATTAGTGTCAGAATTTAATCTCATGACAGCCCTGCTATTGAGGTATTAATATTCTTCTTTTGTGCATACGTGACTAAACAAAGATGGTTGGTGCAGAGGGTGCTTACAAAGCCACTTCCAGACCCAAGGATAGAATCTGGCAGCCTGAGCACCTTGAGTTGTTGGTGGAAGATCTTTAGCAAATGAATCAGGACATATACTGTTAAGGAGGTTCATCTCTGTTCTCCTGTGTTTGCCCTCCCTGCATTTCCAGCAGGAAACCAGGCTTGGGCCCCTTTCCCTTGCCCCAGCAGAGGTTTAGGGCAGGGCTGGAAACAGAAGCTGTCTGAAGCCAGTGTTTCTTCCATCCTTTATGAAAACTTAAACCTAAGGAAAGAATTGAGCTGCTTGTACCTGGTACGGAGGAGAGGGCCTCTGATGACACAGAGAGGGGAGAGGAGGGGAGATTTTTCCCAGACATGGATGAGGTCTGAGATCTATAGGTCTCTCCAGGAGTAGAGACCTGAGCACTGCTCTGTATCAACACTTGGCGAGGCTTCGTGGACGGTCCATTGAGACAGTTTTTCCTGTTGGAATAGCAAGATGGATGGAGCAGAGTTGGGGTCCTGAAGGCACCGAGCCAGCTAGGGAAATGATCAGCTCAGTCCTGAGAAGTGAGGACACCTGAGCAATGTTGGCAGGGCCCTCTCCAAACTGTCTCAGGAGGAGAAGTTTCCACAAGTGGGAATTCTTTGTCCAAGAGCATGACCACTTAACATTTTTAATACTTAATGTCTAGTTGAAATGTGAAATATTTTCAATAATGTGAATGCCAACCAACTACAAGGTGTGGGCACCTGTTTCTCCAGATCTGTGCAATAATGGGTTTCTCAATATTATGAATATTTGCTAATGTCATATCCAGTGTTGGAATGTTAGATTACTTTCACTTTTCTCAATCTGTTTCCATATAAATGGCATATTTCACATGTGCCTTTCTAAATGTAAAGATAATGGCTGCACTTTATGTCTCAAAATAAGTCCTGGAACATTCTAGAGTTTGACAAGAAAACCTAATCAGTGAGTTTGTGTTTATGCTGTGTCCTGCTCAAATGGAAATTATGGAGCCAGGAGAACTCCACACAAGACTTGGGGAGGACA